TCTAACTTAAGTAAGAACATATCAACTACATTTTCATAAGACTAACCTAGCTAATACAAAGTGGGTGGCTAGTATGAGAAGGGTATCATCTTACACAATCGTTGGAGGAATTTCTAATATCCATGATAATGTACCTATTATACGAATTATGAGGATTTTGGGCGGCTACCTACGGATTACAAAGACTAAAAACGCCTTATACGAAAAAGGGCATGTAGGCCCTCCAGTAGACGGTGATTTTTTTTTTTTTTTTGGTTTATTAAGATGCCCTTTAGCCCAATGAGGGGCTAATCTTCCAGGGCTCATATTCATTATCGCTGTCATAATCATTTAACGGTTTATGCAAATATATGGGGAGTATTGAAATCAATGTATGTTGCTACTAATGAACGGTATTGAAATCAATGTATGTTGCTACTGTATTGCTTGAAAATAGACCACCGGTCATATTTTTGCCAACTGTTATGCCACCGGCACATCTACTTGGAGATTAGGAACAGTGGGCCGAAAAGTGGTCTACTTCACCTCCAAGGCAATTTCTCGGCAACAAAAATGGATGTTCCAAGTCAATTTTCTGGTAAACCTTTTATGCCCGTAGCCGGGGGGGGGGGGGTCGGGGTGTTCGGAAGAAACCCCCCACAAGGCTCAAAGGTCCACTTTTTGGTCCACTTTTTATGTAAAGGTCCACTTTTTGGTCCACTTTTTACGTTAAGGTCCAAGATTTTTCTTGAAAAGATGGACTGGAATCGTAGAAAAACTGCTCCCTTTGTCATGGAGTAAAAATTTATCTCTGATTTTTTCTTGGAAATCTTCTCAAAAATGCACGAAATGCCATTTTAGAAGGTTCATTTTTCAAAATTTTCCGGGGGAGCATGCCCCCGGACCCCTCTAAGAACCTCACGCCTACGGCGCTCGAGGTCCCCTCAAGCCGTCTGAAGAACCCCCCCATTCAAAATCCTGGCTACGGGCATAACAGTGACTGATCCATGTATCTGTGAGGTAAACCTTTTATGCC